TAAGTGAAGAACTGATCATTCATAAGTAAGATAGCATCTGTAACGAAGCTCCTTTACTTCTGTACTTTTTAGGGACAGCCTCCACAATATTAATCTTAGGGCTTGAGGTCCTTTTTAAACTGACAACAGTCAAGTATTTGGGATTGCATAATGGCACCACATTATGCTGACAGAGAAGATGTTGAACTTTGTGCCAGTTTTTGCATCATGACTATTCCTACTTTCCCTGGTGGTGTGATGCTAACTGTAGGCTCTGCTCTGTCTGAGGCTTTCTTAAACTTTAATTTGAGCTTTGTTTTAAGTCCCAAACAACCTCCAAAACAGAATCCTGAAAATGTGCTATTTAAATTTGTAAAACATTTTTTCGTGAGTTTCAGACTATTTTAAAACTATTTTGCCTGTGTTTGTTAACGGGTGCATTGTGTCACCATGGTAACTGCTGCATGCATGTGTATGGGGGAATGTTCAGAACACCCCCAGCGTGATGTCACTGCGAAGTATGAATAGGACAAAACTTTCACACACACAAAACCATGTCTTACCAAAACATACCAGAATTCCCTTTATTTATTCTTGCTCACACGACATGCTGCCTCTAATCTTCGGTATGGGAAAAGACTCTCTGTTCATGAAACCGGAATTACCTCTTAAGTCTTTCAAAGCTCACATTACCATGAATGGCTTATCCTCTGAAGCAAAATGAGTGTGAAGTTTCCCCATTAGAACATATGAACGCGCAGTAAATCCTATAGACTTAGCTTGCACCTATCTCATCGGATCAGAGCAGATCTAAAGGCAGGGATGACCGCAAGTATTTGAGCTCCTGACATGACTTAAATGAAATTGAAATCTGCCACTTGAGGCGAACACAGAGATTTACAGGCTCAGAGGGACTAAACGATCAAGAAACATTGGAGATCTGCAGTGTTCTTACAGAGTACAATTCAATTATGGGTGAAAAACCAGGTATAAGAGTTAATGGGATTACAAGTCCTTGATAGCATCATACTGTTAGGGTTATTTCTCCTATATTTCTCCAATATTATACTATTATGTATTACAACCACTTTCACTGTCACCCATAATGTTACATATACAGTACAGTTCTTGCAGTAAGCTGTACCTGTGGCTGTTAAATAAGTAACTTCTAAGAATTAATTATTGCTTTTGAACATCACACAACAGAACTCGATATTCATTCACTCTCCAAATGTGGTTGGTTGACTCACCAGTCTCTTCTCCTTCTGCTTGAATCTAGAACAGTCTGGAATTGGACCACAGAGTGTGAAAAACCACCTTATTAACTTATGGTCCAACCACAGGCACTCATTTGTAACACGTGTCTCAGAAATCTGGCTGTTTCTCAGTCTTCTGTGTTGTTGTGTCCCCCCGCCCCCCCTTTCTTATGTGTAAGGGCCATGTTTTTGACACGGATGGACCAGGCTTCTCTCTGTTTGGTGAATCTAACTGTCAACTCAAATTGGGGGGACAGGATATGGTTCTTTGTAAAGTTTTGTCAAAGCGTGTGGTTCTGGCTGGTCAGGTAACAAACATGATGGTGGTGTTACGCCATGCCTGTTGCCACAGCTGCCCTCCAGCTGATTGACAGCGATGATACTGGTATTCAGTGCCAACAACAGCCTCTCCAGGCATCACCAGTTTTACATAACACATTTACATAAAAGTGAGTCACACTGTCAACTGCCTTTGGGCCATTCATCAGATTAGTTAAGACAACATTATTGCAAAATTATATCAAAGTGTTTAATTTACTTCTAATATATTTTAAAACTAAAAACTTTTTTTTTTCTTATATTACATTACTGCACTTTTGTAGAGCTGTTTCCTCCTCTGTGTACAATACACTCAGTGCTGATGGATATCTTCTGTCCTGTTTATGAGATAGTGAGTGGTTTGAGTAGCTGGCACTCTAGCGTTTACTCTGCACTAGGCTTTAAAAGGCTTTCATTGGAAAGCGTGACTAATGGGGCCATGTAACGCCACAATCAATCTCCGGCGCATATTAATTCACTCAAGTCTCTGTGATCAATTCCGCGGGAGCTTGGTTAGCCACACCTGTTGGCATTTGTGCTCTGAAAAATAGAGACAGCATGAAGATAACCAAGGCCATTTACCAGCTATCAGTAATTAAAATATATCAAGTTATGGCAGCGTGTCCAAACTGTGTATTAAATCTCCAAGACAATGAAATAATAAGCATGATGGATATGGACTGATATAATCTTGTGACACTATAAGAGTATTTTTTTTGCTTTAGTGAATTGGTGTGACTAGACTGGCATTATCTGTAATCAGTTTTATGCTTTTTATGTTGTTTGTCAATGGTTGATGTTTCTTACTTTATATCCTCTAACTATCCTTCTTATTACCCCTCATCATTGTGATAGAATCTGATCTAAGTTTGTCTGGTAGAGGATCTATACTTTTGTAGCTAAAACATATATTTTTTTCTGTTGGAGGTTGCCTTTCCGCAAATCTAAGCGGCAATGTGGCCTGGTGGTGTCATAATAATAACAGATTTTATTTATATCGCGCTTTTCCGGACACTCAAAGACGCTTTACAGAACAAATATTAAAACAGACAAAACATCAATAAACAAATAATACAGGAAAGATAAAACAAAGAAAAAAAAGAAAAGTGAGATATATAGAGAAAAATTAAACATTAAAAGCTGTTCTAAATAGATGAGTCTTGAGATTTGAAAGAGGGCTCTGCTTGTCTGATGAGTTTAATTTTATACTGTGGAACATTCCTGGCAAAGTAGACACTACATCTCCATGGAGACAAGCAAGTGGCGTACCCAAAGTTACATAGTGCACTTTTAAATGCAATGGTTGTTATGCTATACACGTAGTTTCCTAGAAGAGGGTAACAGAAAAATACATGAAGCTTTATTGAAATGTTTTTTAGTATTGCACCAAAAGGTTAAGGATTTGGTCCCGCTATATTGGCTGGCGGTGCAGTTCTTACCCAGAGTCTTCTGGCACTTTTATGAATGTATGAGTGCTTGTAAGTACGAAAAGGTGAATGGTTCCTTGATGTGCAAAGTGCTTTGAGAGCCCTCGGTGAAAAGTGTGATATCAATGCAGCCATTTAGACTTTACCCAGCCTCAGATCCAGAGAAGCAAGGACACAAGGCTCCAGACTCACTGCAGAATACGCCTCAAAATACTTATGCACAGATCATCATGAATATTAACATTACTCAAAACTGACTCTTGTGAACTGTTAGATGTGAGAATACTGTTACCTCCTCAAAAACATACCTGGAGTTGTGTTTTGTTTCATTCGCACATGTTTGAGTAATCCTTTATTGTTAGTCTGTCTACATCTCCAAAGCTCAAAATGTCCTGTTCCACCTTGTGACGTCATGTAGTAGTAGATTTTAAGTCAACAGCTATTTTTTACCTTTTGTTTAGTAGAGATTGGCAATTCCAGGGCTGAAATTATCCCAAGGACTATATTGAAGGTTTATGGAGTTTTAAAACACAGTGGAGAACTTCCTGGATTGCCACATGACATCACAAGATGGAAGAGTGTTTTCTGCTTGAGAGAAGAACTCAACCTAAATATGCAGGATTTGTGTGTCAAACATGTGTGAATGAAACAAAACACAACTCCAGGTATAGTTGGGATTAGGAAACAGCATTAAAATAGATCAGAAAATAGAGTAATACAGGTCCCTTAACTATGCACATTTTACTGCTGCAGTGTTTTGTGCAGTGTTCATTAAATGGAATTAACCACTGTGGCTGGATGTACCTCCTAATGTCTCCCCAAGGAGCTAGAAAAAATAAGCACATTACATATGGCAGAGCTTTAAAGGGGCACTGCGCAACTTTTCTGATGGCGGGTCAGTCACCTGCTTGTCTCCATAGAAATGCTATTGCTTTGTGTAGAATGTTCCATAGTATGACTGACATCTATTATCTATTCATTATGAGTGTTTCTATTCCTCAAAAATACAATGATTCTCTCTGTGTATAGGGTTGCCTCTCCACAGATCTGACCTGTGAAATAGCCCTGTTTCCAAGCAGGTGATGGACCCTCCTAGAAAAGTTGCACAATACACCTTTAAATTATATTACAACATTCTATAGGCCTAAATGGTTGGAGATACAAGGTAAGCAACATGACAATAGTTAACGTGCACAATTTGTGTTAATACAGCAAGTAAATGAAATGAGGTCCTTGCAGACATTTCTAAAAAAAAAAAAAGAAAAAAGAAAAGAAAAAGAAAATTCAAAATGGCTATTGACATGATATGAGCATTTGCAGAACTCATCAGTGTCTGTTTCTTTAGCCCCCGAATCCTCCATAAGTGTTGACTTTATTCATTAACCCAGTCATTGTACAGATTGGACAGAGATAATGTGTAAACAAAGCACAGTGGGGGAGCCAGTTCTAATATAACCCTATCTACTTTAATGTATGGATTATCTGTGGGGAGTTTCTAATAAAACTGTGCTAATGTCAACGAATAATAGGCTCTACCCTCCTCCACCTCAGTTCTTCACTTCATCATTTTTTTATAATCCAAAAGGTTTAATAAAGTGGTGCTCTATAAGTTGCTATGTAACTCTTATGAAAATGTTAATGTTTTGCTTGGAATGTTCCACAGTATTTTATAAACATATATGTCTTTCATTACTTGCTTTGGTGCTTGCTTGTCTCCCTGGAATTTGATACAATTTGTGCCACTCTGTCGATGACGCCATGCAAATAAACAGCATCTCCACTGAGAATAGAAGATTTAGGACCCTCCACCTAAAATGTTACATAGTGAAGCTTAAATGTGAAACATTTATGCGAGATGAATGTAAGAACTGACATATTAACTTTTATAACTGCAACCAGCTTTTTATTCCGTTGTTATCTAAGTGATCTCCTCTCTCTGGCTTATCTCTAGGGAGTTTTTGAGTTCATGAAAACGAACGGCCCATCTGTGGTTGATAGAAGATAATGAAAGACAGTAGAATTGAAGACATTACATAATTTATTTCCGTTGGAACATGACAGCACGTACAGTTCACTTGCACATTTTCATAAATAACAAATACAACACCACATTATTGTAACAGGCTTCATGTACACAGTGGTTTGTGCGGAAATAGCAAAAAGAAACATTTAGTAAACATGTGTTACCACTCTGAACAACTGAACGGTTAGAGTTATTTTTTCTTTTCTTCAAACAATGGCCAAAGCATTTATTTATTTATTTATTCGTCATAGGAATTCACATTAATAAACATGTTCACCGTTAACAACATCGAGACTGTAGCAGAAGATTTTTCATTTCGTTTTTAGTTCCAGACAGGAAAAAGGAACTTGGTAAGACACAATAGAGAGGACCGCGGGTACATGATGCGTGTAAAACAATTATTATTTTTCTTTTTTTTTTTTTTTTTTTTTTTTTTTTTTAAATATGTTGCCACGGTGAGGGCAGCTGTAGTCCATCATAATGACCAATTAGAATAAATATGTGCAAAAATGTGAAATTTGTAAGACTAAAAACACATGGGGTGGATAGCAGTGTAATTGATGCATACTTGCTTAAGAGCCAAGACTGTAACAAATGATTCTTTTGTGGTATATTCAAGCAATGTGGAATGTACGTGTCAGATAATCTGTCAAAGTATCACTGCCTGTAACTGAACAGTGTCCTTAAGGCTGCAGATATGGTGACTATAAATTACGTTTGTTAATAGCCTATTGATGCAATCATAAATAACACAAGGAGAGGGTGAAAGGTAAGGCCACTGCTAGGCGGGTGTATTTTTTACAAGCAAGAAATACCAAAATACACAATTTATACATGCAGACAATCACTTTTAGCTTTGAGTTCACAGTTTGAAAGAAAATAATATGGGTTAACTGTACACTGGAAACCGCTTCAACCTTTGCCCTGACTTTTAGTGCAGATACATAAAAAGCTGATGCAGAGTGAATCTGAATGATGTAATGGTAGGTGCCGCCGTGTTTATCTCAGTCCATAAGGTCATGCTTACAGTGCCAACGGTTTGATGCCCTGATGCAGTTAGTTTAGTAAGTCGCTCAGTTTCGCCTACAAATCTAAGGACAACAATATCTAGACTGACTTGTATTGAAATACCGAATCATCGCAACAGCTTTACAGCTTCACATCCTTCACCTAGTCCAGTAGAAAATGAATATGAGAAAGCAATGTTAAGTGATGGTGATTTAACTGCTATAGTCTATCCAACAATCCGTTAGTGTTATTTAGCTTTGGAGTGAGTTCTTATGAGACAAGCAGTAATAGAGATAGAGATATGGGATTTTAAACTTTCTCAGATATGCAAGATTTTGTTAGTAGCTACTGAGCATGAACATTACATAACTATAAACCACAGCAAGATAAATGGTTCATTATTGTTTTCATTTCCTCATCTGAAGCTTTTTTTGTCTTCTATATGTTCAATAATGGCAGTATCGGTATGACTCTCTCTAATGAATGCTATTATTTCAAATTGCCAATGTAGTCGCAGCCTCTTCACTGTCTGGGAATTAATCACAGGCTATTTCTACGCGCTGTTTATGACTGAGTGTACCCTGGTGCCACTGAGCGACTGAGGAAAACTGCCTCTCTGGTTTCAGTAAACAGTGTAGAAGCTCACGGCAACTACAACATTTAATACACAAATAAACAAACAAACAAACAGTGCTCGTGTGCATCAGAAAGTGCAACAGTTACTTATGAGCTTATGATGTTACTTAAAGGTGCATTGTGTAACTTTTCTGGCGGAGGGTCCGTCAAATACTTTTCTCCGTGGAGATGTTATTGCTTTGTCTGGAATTTGTCAGGAATTCACAGTAGGGTATTAAACCTTTCTATCATCATGGAAACTAAACCAGAGCAAGTTACAGGTCAGATCTGTGGAGAGGCAGAGTCTTGAGCTATAAAACCACATGTAACTGAATAAATTTAATGTAAGTTAGAGCTGTTTAATGTCAGGTGACGGACCCCCAACCAAAAAGTTACATAGCGCACCTTTAAGCTGGTATTGCATCTCAAACTGTACCAAATAGTAATTTCAAGGCATCGTTTCAATTGTATTAAGTCCTTCTCTGGGTGCGATGGGTCATTAAGACAAAAAAAAAAATGCAAGACTAATGCACACTTACCTATCATATATTTCAGACCATGGCTATAATGTTTGAGCACTTGACCACAAAGAACCTGGCAACGCTGATGAAGTAGAGCATCTTTTGTTTTTGTGGAAACGTTTATCTTGATGATTTTTTTTAAAAAAGTAAAAAATTTAAATTTGACCAAAAGGTAGGACTATATATAAAAAAATATGTCGTGACTTGAACTGAGCAAAACTGCACTGAAATCCCATATGGCACAGACTGGTATTTTGCTGAAAGTTGAACTCAGTAATATAATATATCTTTAATGCAAAACAGGTTCTGTTTTGTGACCAGATAGTAACTAGTTTGGCCCTGGGCTTGCAGCGCTGACAAAGAAGAAGTCTGGAAATCTGATAGACAGGCTGTGCCCCACCTGCTGTTGATCATCACCTTTGAGAAAAAAAAAAAAAAAAAAAAACATTGGCCAAATCAAATCCAAAATGCCCCCGGAATGTATCTCTTTGAAAGATAAGCACCATAGAAGTATCACATTTGATCCTCCATTACACAATATAAGTCCAGTCCACTGCATCCGTGTCCAATTGGCAAAGGCCATTGGAATTCACAGCCTCCAACCACGATCACTTTGAAGTAAAATTGTTAACTAGTATGGCTTGCCCACAGTTTATACAGGAGCCATCTGATCCAACGACATAATCCGTGAATGAATAAATTGTGATATGAGCCATGGGAGAGTGAATGGGTGTAGTGGTTAAATGGATATAAAACAAAAACATGTGAGGTAGATGTTAAGGCAAAATAATAACTGATTTACTATTAAATCTACAGTAAGAACTTCATGTTTGAAAAGAGGGAAATAGCCACTTTAGTTGAATATGTTGCATTCAATCATATTATAACCAAATAATAATAATTCTATGGTTGATCTTATGCATATCTTTAACCTGTTTAATGTCTTACCATTAACACAAAAGATTTACAAAATCTTGAAAAATGATATTTGAAGGGTTTAGTGAAAAACTGATACAGACAAACAATGAAAAGTCCTTCAATTACTAAGACAGGGCAGCACGGTTCAGTGGGAGGGACCCAACCCCGAGCAAAACACACCCTGCTTCAATATATGTATTTTGTGTTTGGACATGTTATAGAATAATAAAGACTTTATCCTCCATTTTACTTCTTGATATCACAAATTTGCTTAAAGTGAATGCAACATATTGAACATTATAATTTTCCTCATCCTCTTCAAACTCTAAACCCCAGAGTCGCCTTACCTTCATCTTGGAACACGTTTGTAACACTATTGTAAACATGTCTGGAATGGCTCCCAGCATTTTTTTCTTAAAGTACAGTTGTTACAGTTGTCAGGCTTTTGCTGCAGTTCCCGTTTGGGTCCACTACTCCAGCCCTGTCCATGATACTGCACACCCCTTGCCCCTCTTGCCCCGAACAGCCCTCCTGGTTGCCCCCTTCGCTATCGTCCGAGCTCCCTTTACTCCTGCCGTGGGGTTCACTCTGCCAACTGTGCCTACTGTACACGTATCCATTGATTGGCCCTGCACTGCTGCTCAGCCTGGTCCTTTTTAGACACAGAATTTCCTTGAAGGCATATCTAAATTCGGGACTTCGGCAGTAAATCAAAGGGTTGAAGGCGGAGTTGGCGTATCCTATCCAGTTGAGGATCCTAAACGTAAGATCAATGTTGTCTACTTTCCAAAAGGCTACCACGACATTGAGCAGGAAAAAGGGTAACCAGCAGAGAGTGAAGATCCCCATGATAATACCTAAAGTCTTCAATGCTTTATGTTCCCTTAGGCAGAATTTGGCCTTCTTCTGACCTCGCCCGTTATTAGCCTCTAGGGATTTGAGGTTGTTGTCGCTATTGTGGAAACGTCCAACACTTTGGTCAATCTTTTTCAGCTGGCGTTTTGCCTCCTGGAACACACGGCTGTACACAAAAACCATGATAACCAAAGGGATGTAGAAGGAGATGATCGAGGAGGTGATCGCGTACGCCATGTTGGTGTGAAACTCACAGCAGTTGCTATTCTCCATGCATTTCTGAGCTTCTTTGCCGTCCGCTATCCACCACTTCATGTGAATTGGCAGGTAGGAGATCAGGGCTGCGATGACCCAGACGAGAACTACCACAATACGAGCTTTGCATTTCGTCAGTATCGACTGGTAGCGGAAAGGTGACGTGATTGCTAAATACCTGTCTATCGCAATCACGCACAGAGTTTCAATGCTGGCGGTAACACATAGAACATCAGTGGCGGTCCAAAACTCGCACCAAAAATTCCCAAAATGCCAAGTCTTGAAGATGATATAACAAGCGCCGAATGGGACCACGATGAGCCCCATGACGAGGTCGGCGCAGGCGAGAGAGGTGATGAAGCAGTTGGTGACGTTTTGAAGGCGTTGGAATCTGGCGATCGCCGTAATGACGAGGATGTTGCCGAAGACGATGCACAGGACCAGTACTGACATGATTATGCCCAGCAGGATCATAGTGGCCTCGCTGTAGCCGTCCTCGATCGGCGGGGGATCAGAGGAGGTGTTGGTCATCTGCTCGCTCAGATTGAGGCTCATTTGGGGGGCACTGCTTCCCATCTGCAAAGAGAGACCACACACAGTTAGCTCAGAGGATAAGGGTAACAGGTGAGGAGATAGTATTACAAGTAAATGTACAAAAGAAGTCAGCATGTATATTAGAATGCAGCATGGTAAAGAGATTTGCAAAGTCCACTAAATAAATGCCAATAAACTGGTGAATAAAAAATGTATTGATTGATTTAGCAAAAGAAAAGCTATGAATACATTTTAGAATAGTCAGTTGTTTTTGCTTTTCTTTAAATGAAAGGAGAAAAAAAGAAGAATAGAACTGTAGAAAGGTGTCTCTGCAAAGTGTCTAAAATTGTCTAAAATGTATGATTAAGTAGCAATCAGTCAAGCAAGATGAAAACGTGTCTAGAATATGTATGCAAATTATATAAATGAATTTGTCTTTGACAGTTCAGAGATCAACAGATACACTGTGTCCGTGTACCTTATCTCATATCTGCAATGTGAAGTCTAACTTGAATAAATTTAACATCCACTTAAAATAAATGTTTTGTCACAGAAAAGACTGATTAAACATTTAGCTTGAAAGCAAATGAGAAGAAAAAGAAGCGTGCATGTACAAGAAAAAAGAAGGAGTTTAAAAATAAATGAAGTAAAAGTGCACAAACCTCCACAGGTAGTAGTCTTGTTGTCTGCCTCCCATAAAAAATGGAAATGTCACAGTTCAGGTTACGCTGCAACTATTTAGTGTCACATGTCGTCCCTGTCAGCCCGTCTCTCTCCCCCCTCTCACTCCTCTCTCTCTCTCTCTCTCTCTCTCTCTGTGTGAGTGTGTGTTTGTCTCTATGTCTCTCGCTCTCCCCAGCTCCTCACTTCAGCTGTGTTTCCTCTAATGTGTCTCCCGGGCTATTTGTCAGAGCCCTTATAATGTGCTGTGATGTCATCATGGCTCGGGCTCAGCCAATCAGAGCGTTCCACTGGTTTGTGCTCTCCGCAGTTTGAACACGCTGTCCCTCCAAGCCTGGGTATGGCTTTAAAAACCTACAGCCCTCCTCAATGGCTTCACAGGGCTTTTATTAGCATGCTAATGTAACCGGTAAATAAGATCCTTCTTCAAATGTATTTATTCCAAAATTCTATTATATTATTATACATTTCTCAAAAAAATGTGAAGGAAGAGAAAAAGAAAAGAGGTTCTACGGTTGCCACATGAAACAAAATGAATATAGTTTGCATAGGGAAGATCTTGTAGAATTTTGTACTATAATATTTAAGCTTTAAAAAATGGTTTGTAATTCATAGTCCACTGCTGAACTCACTCAAAATTACATTCACACTTTGTCAATTGAGTTTTATAAATAAGGCTACTGCTTAGGCATAATGACTGTTAATAGCTTAAATATTAAAACTCTATTCACAAGTATTAATTCATTTTAGTTGGTTTGTGGTCCATGTTATGTATTTTTTTTTGTCTCATATTTGCATAGTTCTGTCTTTTTGTCTTTTTTTACACACTTCCTGATCAGATCTGTTTGTTTCAGGACTTAGTTTCTGCTTTGGAGCTCTGTGTTTGAGTTGTGACACTAATCCTGCACGCACCAAAGCATGACAGCATGTAGTTACGGGAACATATATTTTCATACAAGCAAAACGTTCTTTATCCAAACACCTGGCTCGTCTTTTTCACACATTTCCATGTAACGTTAGACTAATGTTAGATAAAGCTAGAAATGATCTTTTAGTGCAATACATGAGCATTTATGTTTCTTCTTTATATCATGCAGCTGTAACTTCCATTTGTTCAGAATTCTTAAGCCATCCAACAGTCTAGTCAGTCTAGTCCTTGTGTATATAGACATTTTAACTGCAATACTAACTTCTGACTAGCCTGTTTTGCAGTGTTTTTCTGCTGTTTCTGCCATAACATTACAACTGTTTGCATAAGCAGTGCGCTACTTTGGTGTATGTATTCTGTCCTTTTCGACTTACATTTGAAACACCATTCTCTACATTTTTGCATCACCTTTGTCAACAACATCTACTTTCAGAAATTCCAACAAAAATATTCAGGTGGAGAATAATGACGGGGTGACCCACAGGTTGGCCAGCTCCCCCAGATGAATGATGTTGTTGTGTCCTTGGGCAACACACTTAACCCACCGCACCCCCCGTGTCTGCGCACACTGGTGTATGAATGTGTGAATGACTGAGTGGTTCCTTGATGTAAAGTGCTTTGAGTGCCATGAAGGTGGAAAAGCGCGATATGAGATCATTTACCGTTACAAATGAGAAAGGCAGGCATATAGGAGACCGGACGCTGTGGAGCATAAGTATCCTAACAGACTACAGAACAATTTGGCTCCTCTGTAATAGTTTTACATTGTTGAGCTCGTCTGATGTTTCTGTCTTCATGTAAAGGGTTTGAGTCATTATTTCACAAGTTAACTGCACTGATGTGGAAGCCTAATTGCCTCTGGACCATTTGAAATAAGGATTCACTGAAAAAAACAAAAAATCACTTTCACACTTTACATACACGCTATATACAAACTGGGACTAAACCAGGACTAAACAAAACTAAACCAGGACTAAGTCAGAACTAGACAGGACAAAACCAGAAGAAAACAGGACTAGACAAGACTACGCCAGGACTAAACCAGGACAAGACAAGACTAAACCAGGAGAATAAAACAGGACTAGATGAGACTAAACCAGGACTAAACCAGGACTAGACTAGACAAGGCTAAGCCAGGACTAAACCAGGACTTGACAAATCTAAACCAGGACTAATCCAGGACTAGACGAGACTAAACCAGGACTAAATCAGGACTAGATGAGACAAAACCAGGACTAAACCAGGACTAAGACAGAACTAGACGAAACTCAACCAGGACTACACAAAACTAAATCAGGACTAAACCAGGAATAGACAGGATTAAGCCAGGACTAGACAAGACTAAACCAAGACTAAACCAGGACTAAACTAGGAATAAACCAGGACTAGAAGAAAATAAACCAGTAATAAGCCAGAACTAGACAAGACTAACAAAACTAAATCAGGACTAAGCCAGGAGTAGACAAGACTAAACCAGGACTAAACCAGGATCAAACCAGGACCAGTGTAAACGCAGGCTAGGCAGTGGAAATTTTCACTTCACATTAGTCTGTTATGTAACATTAAAGGGCTTTGCATGACAGTGATTTGTTTTAACACTCTGGACAGATGCCGAGTATGACCTAAACACATTATATTGATTGCTTGTTACTGTTCCCATGTCTATTTTTCTTTACAATGTTTGAAAGACCAATGTCAAGTTTGTCATCCGTCTCCATGCAAGCAAAGGTTGCACTTCTTCGTATGTCCTGAATACAATTTTGTGAAAGATAAGATGATTCAGTTTAGGATTTCTTTCTTGTTGTTTGCTCATCTGTCAGAGTGGGTGTTTGTGGAGCTTAAAGCAAAAATAAAATAGTTTACAGAGCACTGACCTTCATTCAAATACGGCGCTGACGGCAAAGGGACCCTAACAGCAGTGTGCATGATGGAGTGAGGCATCAGCAGCCTCCGCCACTAAATACATAACTTGTTTTCTCATTAAACGCACCATTTAGTTTAAGAGAGTGAGGATTTTTCATGGGCTATTTGTGAGAGTAAAAACAAATTTTTTAGTTCATATGGTTTATCCTGAAGAATCACATGTAAGGGTTCATTAAAGGCGAAAAAGTCACATAACAGTTCCTGTAAAAGATGTTACATACAGATCATGAGTTGGTAGTGGTTCAGTGGTACAATGTGGATAATACAATTAAAATAAAAAATTAGATTGAAGACTTGGAAATAACTGACCACTATAAAATTTGCATGAATATTATTTTTTGTTATCATTGATCTAAGAAATGTTGGCTATTTTGACAAATGGGTATACTTCAATTCAATGTATTTTTGTATAGCCCAAAATTTATAAAAAGTGATGTGATTGCTGACTTCACAGAAGGACCCATATTAGGCTCTTTTCTGATCTTTTTTATCATGTTTCCTCATCTGAAACATACTTAGAGAGAGGGTAAGTTCAGTGACAAACAAATCATATTAGAAACACATTTGCAAATCTAAATGTATTACTAAATAAGGATTTAATTTCTTTCCATTTATCTAAATCTATGAGCAGTCCACGCGGAGATGACCTCCCTCTCCCCAGGCACTTCCTCTGCTCTTCTATGAAAACATACATCTTCACCAGAGCATTCTCTTGAGTGTTTTCCAGTGGCCGGAAATGTGTACATGTACTGTATAAGCTATGGTAGATGTAATCTTCCTATGGTTTTCTATGGGCAGTTCCCATGAAAATAAGAAGGACACTTTCAGAATGTTGTCTGAGCTTCCATGAATTTTGTTTATATTTCTGGCCATAAGTTGTAGGGTTAGAGGGTTAGAGTGATTTGTAGATCTTGGAAAGTTTGATTAATGCATCAAATTGTAATTTTGAATTTCTAAAAAAAAAAAAAAAAAAAAAAAAAAAAAAAAAAAAAAAAAAAAACTAATGATTCACTAGGATAATCTTTTATTTATTTATTTTTTTTTTTCATTTCTTTGAAAAAAAAAAAAAAAGTTTCTGAGTGAATGAGGTTTGATTGCAGTTCCTCCAGAATCCTATTTTCAAATATTAACACTGGATACTGAAGGCTGTACCTAACAATACCTTATTGTCTGCTGTGAATGGGGAACTAGATTAAATTCAAATTTTTCCTATAGCTTTCTCAAACTCTTTGGCACATCACATTAATAGATTTTTTATACTGACCACCCTGGCACAGTCCTCCGATCTCATCCCAAAGCAAAACACGCAAACAACACTTTGGTCCAGATTTCTAATTGACAAAATGTGTTAAATAATTAAACACAGACAGCAAGTTGTGGTCTGTTTTGTCACAAAGGTTTGGGTAAACATCATGTACTCTTATTGATACTGAGGGTGGGGGGTTCTATACATGCATCTTTATGCTGGAATGTTTAGTAGTTACCATGGTGACACAGCCAAAAAAGTTTTAACATTGTCTGAAAATTTAAGGAAAAATACTAAATGGATTTAAATAACACATTTTTAGGAGCCTGTGATTAATACGCACGTTCCTGGTCTGTTTAGATGTTTGATTTTCAACAAAAAGGTGAGAGTGACTAACTGAAAAACTATTAGCTTGTGACTGTAATTTTATGTGAGAGAGACTTGTTCAACAGCACAAATCAGCTCACCTGATGTAGTTTAAAATAAGTCAGCTCTTTTTGGTCAGAATGTGTATGACTTTAAAATCAGATTAAAGTCTAATTCGAGTCACAGAGCCTCAGATTGAGTAGTACCTTCAGTTAGCATCACACCAACAGGGAATGTTGATGACATCAGCTGCAAAGTATCAACAAAAGATAAACACTGGACATGACCATCAAACTCAATGCTACTTCTGACTGAGGAAGAGATAAAATTGTTCTAAAATTACCCCAAAACCTTCACAGATGCAAAAAAGTAGAAAGTCTCATGAAAAGCAATTGTACCAAGCCTGCAGATCTCTGTGATTTAAACCTTTTTACTGGAGTGGAGTTTCAGTGGATCTGTCTCGTTTCCTCTGTGTGACAGTCTTCCTGTATCCTGTCAGCCCCAGACACAACCCAGTCTCTGCTGCATCACCTCTGGGCCACTCAAATCCTGTCTGTGCTTTGATACTGTCCATCCACAACTTTCTCTGTTACAAACTTCTTTCAACTTTCTCCAAACAATGTCTCTAGCTAGCTATATTTTTTTAAGTGCACATGACAGATTGGATTGCTCTTTTTACTAAAACACAGTTAAAGCTGCATTGTGTTACTTTTCTTGCAGAGGTTCTGTTAAA